CTCTGCAGCGCCAGTACCCTCAGTCACAACACCGCCAGCCCCAGCAGCTCCAGTACCCTCAGTACGAGCACCTTCGGGACTAGCGACACCAGCAGAAGAACCCCCAGCAGTAGAGCCCTGAGGTGCAGAAGCGCGACGCTGACGGCGACCGTACCAGTCGTGCAGCTGCTGGGAGGTGAGGGGCACACACGGACGAAGACGGCTACTCCAAGGAGACCGCGGAAAAGCAGTCGCAGAACCCTCAGGCGACTCACCCCCAGACTCAGCACCCCCAGGCTCCGCACATGCAGGCTCAGCACCCCCAGACGCAGCACCTCTAGACGCAGCACCCCCAAACTCCTCACGCTCAGCGCCCCCAGACTCAGCACCCCCAAGCTCCGCACCCCCAGGGACAGCACCACTCGCAGCAGGACCGGAGTCACCAGTGACCTCAACAGGCGCAGGCGCGGGGGGGTCTACCTGAGAGACACCTGAAGGAGCAGGACCTGGCGCGGGGAGGGGGTCTACCTGGGGAGGACCTGGGGCGAGAAAGAGCGGCGGGGGGGGGGGAGGAGCAGTGCGGTAGGGGAAGAGGCGGTAAAAGGGGACGGACTCGTCAAAGGTGACGTCCTGAGACGCAAAGACACGGCGCGAGGCGGGGTCGTAAAACTGCCAGCCAGGCGCGTCAGGGACAAAGCCAAGGAAGACGCAAGGAATGGCGCGAGGGGAGAGCTTGTCCGCGGTGGTATCGCGGACAAAGGCACGAGCACCCCAGACCCGGAAACGCGACGCGTCGCCAACCTTCCCGGTCCACAACAGTGTGGGCGAGGTCTCCGGCAAGGAGACACGGGGCCAAAGGTTGAGCTGATGCGCGGCGTACCGGACCGCAAACGGCCACAGAAAATGGGGGGCAGCCGCATGGATCATGGAGGTACGAGCGACCTCCATGACTAAGCCAATGCGGCGCTCAGCAACCCCATTCTGCTGAGGAGAGGCCGGAAGCGTGAAAGTCTGGCGGATGCCATGCTCCGCACAGAAGGCTGCCAAGAGGTCTGAGGAGAACTCACCACCTCTGTCAGAGTGCAGACGCAGGACAGGAAAGTCCGACTGGAACCGATCGCGGAGCTGGAGACGAGTAGCGCGGATCCAGGGGATCAAAACATCAGGGACATCCCCCTTGCGCTGCAAGGGGAAGACCGTGGTGTAGCGCGTGTAGTCGTCGACAACCAGCAGGAAGTACCGCTCGTGGCCCTGTCCACGGACGCGGGCTGGGCCCCACACGTCCAGGTGGAGAGTCTGCAGTGGAGCCTCTGTGGGAGGGAACGAGGAGGAGTGAGGAGCGGCGCGTTGCCGCCCCTCGACGCAGGGAATGCAGGGCGGCGCAGGCGAGGGAGGGAGGGCAGGCAGAGACCTGGGAAGCCCAGAAACCAGGAGGCGGGAGTGCATGCTGCGTAGGCGAGGCAGGGAGGGGTGACCAAGGCGGTGGTGCCACAGGAGAGTGTCGTGCGACAGCCGGCGACACTCACACTGTGTAGCTACCTGAGCAGACGCGTGCAACTGGGGAGACAAAGGGGCGGAGCGTGACGCAGTGGTGAGGGTGTACAGACTGGACCCCGGCGCACGAGCGAACGTGGCCAGGTGGCGACCAGTCTGGGAGCACGTGCAAATCGCCACACGCTGCCGGCCAGGGGTGAAGGTGTCAACCCCCGCATCCTGGAGGACAGCGTTACTCACCAAGTTCGTAGAGAACGAGGGGAGGTGGAGACCAGACAGCTCACCAGACGGGACCGCCGGACACGGAAGCACAGTGGAAGACCGTGCAAGCACTGGGCCCCCAGAGGGGTCAGCCAGTGAGACAGGAACAGGTGCAGGGAGGGGAGTGACTGTGGTACTGTCGCGAAAGAAACAGCGGGAAGCACCAGAGTCAAGTGTAAAGGTGTGCAAAGCCTGTGCAGGCGCAGTACCAAGGGGAGCAGACTCACAAGCACCTAGTGCTGCAGGGGCTATACCAGGGGTTATACCAGGATCCGGCGGCACACACAAGTAGCAGTCACCCTCAGCACTAACAGACAAGGCATACATAGCAGTGAGAATAGCAGCATAGTCAAGAGCAAATATATCTACCCTCTGCCCAAGCAGCTCCACCCAGTCGGGGAGCTCAGCCTCGTCGCCAAACTCGGTACGCCAGGCGTCACTCAGACGGGCGAAGCAGTGGGACTGGGTGTGACTAAGCATCCCACAAGTCTGACCCGTCCGATCTCCTGTGCGAATGACGTACGGGCAGCGAACGGTACTCAAAGACCCTCTACTCTGAGCGTACCACTCGTGAAGCTGCTGGGACATAAGTGTCTCGCGTGGACGCGGCTGCAGCTGCAGCCGGCCACCGCCAGACGTTCCCAACTGACCAGCTCTAGGGCGACAGCTACGACGACTACCGCCACAACCCCAACTAGCGTACCACTCACGAAGCTGCTGGGGCGTGAGAGACTCGCGCGGACGTTGCTGGAGCTGCATCTGGCCACCGCCAGTACCAGTAGCAGTAGCCTAGCAGAGCAGGCGCGGCAGGCAGACAGGCAGGCAGGCAGGTAGGCAGGCAGACAGGTAGACAGGCAGGCAGGCAGGCAGGCAGGCAGGCACGCAGGCAGGCTGGCAGGCTGGCAGGCAGGCAGGCAGGCAGATGGCGCGGCAGCGCGCTAACAAGGCAGGTGCTCACCAGTGTCGGGTAGAGCAGGCGCTCGCCGGGCGAGCAGGGCCAGCGCTCGGCGGGCGGCTGCACGGGGTCCAGGGGCGGCGTCGCGGGTCCAGGGGCGGCGTCGCGGGATCCAGGGGCGGCTGCACCAGGGGTGGCTGCTCTGGGTCCAGGGGCGGCTGCACAAGGGGCGGCTGCTCAGGGGCCAGGGGCGGCTGCTCTGGGTCCAGGGGCGGCTGCACCAGGGGCGGCTGCTTCAGGGGCCAGGGGCGGCTGCTCGGGGTCCAGGGGCGGCTGCTCGAGGGGCGGCTGCTGCAGGGGCCAGGGGCGGCTGCTCTGGGTCCAGGGGCGGCTGCTCCAGGGGCGGCTGCTGCAGGGGCCAGGGGCGGCTGCTCTGGGTCCAGGGGCGGCTGCTCTGGGTCCAGGGGCGGCTGCTCGAGGGTCCAGGGGCGGCTGCACCAGGGGCGGCTGCTTCAGGGGCCAGGGGCGGCTGCTCTGGGTCCAGGGGCGGCTGCTCGAGGGGCGGCTGCTGCAGGGGCCAGGGGCTGCTGCTCTGGGTCCAGGGGCGGCTGCTCCAGGGGCGGCTGCTGCAGGGGCCAGGGGCGGCTGCTCTGGGTCCAGGGGCGGCTGCTCAAGGGTCCAGGGGCGGCTGCTCGAGGGGCGGCTGCTGCAGGGGCCAGGGGCGGCTGCTCTGGGTCCAGGGGCGGCTGCTCCAGGGGCGGCTGCTGCAGGGGCCAGGGGCGGCTGCTCTGGGTCCAGGGGCGGCTGCTCGAGGGTCCAGGGGCGGCTGCACCAGGGGCGGCTGCTTCAGGGGCCAGGGGCGGCTGCTCTGGGTCCAGGGGCGGCTGCTCGAGGGGCGGCTGCTGCAGGGGCCAGGGGCGGCTGCTCTGGGTCCAGGGGCGGCTGCACCAGGGGCGGCTGGACCAGGGGCGGCTGCTTTAGGGGGGGGGGCCAGGGGCGGCTGCTGCAGGGGCGGTTGCTCCAGGGGCCAGAGGCGGCTGCTGCAGGGGCGGCTGCTCCAGGGGCAAGGGGCGGCTGCTGCAGTGGCGGCTACTCCAGGGGCCAGGGGCGGCTGCTGCAGGGGCCAGGGGCGGATGCTGCAGGGGCGGCTGCAGCAAGTAGCAGCAGCGGCAGCAAGTAGAAGCAGCAACACAGGCGCAGTGCAGCGTGTAGGCCTGGCGTGGGCTGTACTGGCCGCGTGCGGGCCTGACGTGGCCTGTACGGGCTGCGCGAATGCCTAGCGCGGACTGTACGGGCCGCTCTCGGGCCTGACTTGGCCTGTACGGGCTGCGCTAACGCCTAGCGCTGACTGTACGGGCCGCGCGCGGGCCTAACGTAGGCTATACGGGCCGCGCGCGGGCGTGGCGCGGGCTGTACGGGCGGCGCGAAGGCCAGACGGGGGCTGTACGGGCTGCTCGCTGGCTACGCGCGACAGGACAGGGCAGGGCCGCGGGGCAGCGAAAATCGATGCACCTAAGGGCGCATTTCGGGCAGAAAAAAAAGCAGAGAACGAGATTCGGGCAGGAACACGGAAGGTTTAACGGTGGGCCCTAAAAAAAATTCGTCCTAGGCTAGGAACGTCCTAGCTCTGATACCATGTCAGAATCTTACGGGAAAGTTGTGTGTCGACTATCGAAAGGGAAAGATACAAAGGAGAAACCTAAGGGGTTGTACCCCACAGTGAGTACCCCACTAAGCCTAACCAAACTATAACAAATATACACATATGTTTGATAAGTTTCGCTTGCTGTCAGACATCTACTGTACACGATGTATACGTACATGTGATATAATCAGTCACTCCACGAGGCGATGTTACACTTTCACACTAGCGAACTATTATTCACAGTAAGGGCTGTTCCTACGGCCCCTTATCAGGGACACCTCGTATCAGCTTCGCATTTTTGCCTGGTAAAATTCACGAAGGTTTTTGGGTTTAGGGAAATTTCAGTGTGTTGTGACGCGAGCCTGATAAGAGGTTGGCCTGATAAGGGGCTGTAGAAACATGCCCTAATTGTTAGTGAACTGTTACAGTGTCATCATCCGTTTGGTACAGTGGTAATTTCATCATATCTATATATATGTATATACCTATTTCGAAATATTAAAGCCCGAGTGCACATGTCTCTAGTTCAGAAAGAAGTCAATAACGTTGAGAGTGGCTCTCTCAGTATACACGCCCCGTCCAACAGCGCGAGGTTTGTTGTGTGGGGTAAGGGTGTGCGCACCAATTGGAGACCTGTTTCGCACTATGCCCTACGGTCCCGCTACTGCTCCTAATAATTTTGCACCCCGGCTTTAAAAAACTAAAACCCTTCGAAATTCTACGATCTCACCTAGCAATACCCGTCTCCTCCAGTCTGCCTAAAAGCCCCCCTGGCGAATCATCTGCAAGATCAGCCAGGGTCTTTTTGTCGAAACTAAAACACGTAACACATGGCCCAAAGGATGGACGAAACTTCCAAGAAGGCTTGGACGAAAGTCGGGCAGTGCCAATAGATACTGCTGCCGTGTGACTGGCACCAGCAGCAGCAGGAACAGCAACAGCAGGAGCAGCAGCAGGTGCAGCAGCAGAAAGTGGAACAGCACCAGGAGCAACAGCAGCAGGAGCAACAGCAGCAGGAGCAACAGCAGCAGGAGCAACAGCAGCAGGAGCAACAGCAGGAGCAACAGCAGCAGGAGCAACAGCAGAAGGAGCAGGAGGAGCAGCAGCAGGCACGACAGCAGCAGGTGCAGCACCCGTATTTCCACACTTTCGTTCTGCGACCCCTTTACCACCAGTGGCAACATCAGCAGTATCAGGAGCACTATGAGCAGGAGCTGGATCAGGAGGAGCAATATCAGCAGGAGCTTCCGTAGGAGCAGTATGGGCACAAGCACTATGAGCAGGGGCAGGATCAGCAGGAGCAGGATCAGATGGGGCAGGATCAGGAGGAGTTCCATACTTGTGCCATGCTGCCCCTTCTATCTCACGTGCAGCAGGCCTGGCGGCCTCACCGTTTTCACACACTGCTGGCCCATAAGCTGCAGGTGCAGCAGGTGTGGCAGGTGTGGCGGCCTCAGCGTTCCCACACACAGCTAGCCCATAAGCTGCAGGTGCAGCAGGTGTGGCAGGTGTGGCGGCCTCAGCGTTCCCACACACAGCTAGCCCATAAGCTGCAGGTGCAGCAGGTGTGGCAGGTGTGGCGGCCTCAGCGTTCCCACACACAGCTAGCCCATAAGCTGCAGGTGCAGCAGGTGTGGCAGGTGTGGCGGCCTCAGCGTTCCCACACACAGCTAGCCCATAAGCTGCAGGTGCAGCAGGTGTGGCAGGTGTGGCGGCCTCAGCGTTCCCACACACAGCTAGCCCATAAGCTGCAGGTGCAGCAGGTGTGGCAGGTGTGGCGGCCTCAGCGTTCCCACACACAGCTAGCCCATAAGCTGCAGGTGCAGCAGGTGTGGCAGGTGTGGCGGCCTCAGCGTTCCCACACACAGCTAGCCCATAAGCTGCAGGTGCAGCAGGTGTGGCAGGTGTGGCGGCCTCAGCGTTCCCACACACAGCTAGCCCATAAGCTGCAGGTGCAGCAGGTGTGGCAGGTGTGGCGGCCTCAGCGTTCCCACACACAGCTAGCCCATAAGCTGCAGGTGCAGCAGGTGTGGCAGGTGTGGCGGCCTCAGCGTTCCCACACACAGCTAGCCCATAAGCTGCAGGTGCAGCAGGTGTGGCAGGTGTGGCGGCCTCAGCGTTCCCACACACAGCTAGCCCATAACCTGCAGGTGCATCGGTGGGAGCACACGCAGCGGGTGAAGCAGCAGGAGCAAAGGTTGAAGGCGCATCAGCAGGAGCAAACGCAGCAGGTGCAGCGATGCTTGCTTCATCTTCCCTGCTTTTTGCTGCACGTCGAGGTGCACTCCTCTTTCGTACTGCAACCACTGCTCCTTCCCCCACTCCTGCTGTTCCCCCGCTCCCTTCTCCTGCTGCTTCTGCTCCTTTTGCTGCTTTTGATCCCTTAGCTACTTTTGCTGATTTTGCTCCTTTTGCTCCTTTTGCTGCTTTTGCTCCTTTTGCTACTTTTGTTTCTTTTGCTGCATTTGCTCCTTCCCCCGCTCCTCCTGCTGCTGCCTTTCCTCCTGCTGCTATTACTTCTCCTCCTGGTGGCTTTCCTCCCGCATCTGCTTCTTCTCCCGCTGCTGCTTTTGCTCCTGCTGCTGCTTCTACCTTTCCTGCTGCTGCTGTTGCTCCTGCTGCTGCTTTTTCCCCCCCTGCTCCTTTTACTTTTCCTGCTCCTGCTGATTTTGGTCGCCTTGCTGCTTTTTCTCTTGCTGCTGCCTTAGCTCCTGCTCCTGCCTCTGCGTTTTCTCCTGCTCCAGCAGACTTGTGAGTTGACTCACAAGAGGAGGCAGCTAAATGGTCATACAGGGCACTAGAGCTAGAGGTGGAAGAGAGGTTGAATGAGTGAGAAGCAAGGAGAAGAGGGGACTGCTGAGATGGAGTATGAGGAGGTGAGACGGAAGAGGGGGAGAGAGGAGGAGAGGCTTCTGGCGTGGAAACAGGAGGGCTGACTGTCATCTTATACAGGGGGTCTCCTTTACAGTGCTTTGTGCTTATAGGGAGGGATTGGTCCCTGCGACTGCTCACTTCTCCCTCCTCACCTCCTCCCTTCCTGTCCTTCCTTCCACTTCCACCCACTTTGCTCTTCTTGCTCCCTACGCTCCCTCTGCCCTTTCCGCTCCTTCTGCTTTCTTCAGATTCAAAAACAACCGACCCTCCAGTTTCCCCATTCCCGCTACTCCTTCCGCTCCCTTTGCCCTTCTTGCTCCCTCCACTTCCTCTGCCCATTCCGCTCCTGCTGTCTTCGGATTCAGAAACAACTAACCCTCCACTTTCCCCATTCCCGCCACTCCTTCCGCTCCCTTTGCTCTTCTTGCTCCCTGCGCTTCCTCTGCCCTTTCCGCTCCTGCTTTCTTCAGATTCAGAAACAACCGACCCTCCAGTTTCCCCATTCCCGCTACTCCTTCCGCTCCCTTTGCTCTTCTTGCTCCCTCCACTTCCTCTGCCCATTCCGCCCCTGCTGTCTTCAGATTCAGAAACAACTAACCCTCCATTTTCCCCATTCCCGCCACTCCTTCCGCTCCCTTTGGTCTTCTTGCTCCCTGCGCTTCCTCTGCCCTTTCCGCTCCTGCTTTCTTCAGATTCAGAAACAACCGACCCTCCAAGTTCTCCACTCCCTACACTCCTTCCGCCCACTTCGCCCCTTTTGCTCCCGCCGATCTTTCTACCCTTTCCGCTCATCCTGCTTTCTTCCGACTCAGAAGCTACCAGCCCTCCAATTTCTCCAATCCCTTTGCCCTTCTTGATGCCTCCCTTTCCTCTACCCTTTCCGCTCCTGCTTTCTTCAGACTCGGAAACTACCAACCCTCCAATCTCTCCACTCCCTCCCCTCCTTCCGCTCCCTTTGCCCTTCTTGCTCCCTCTGATCCCTCTGCCTTTTCCGCTCCTTCTGCTTTCTTCAGACTCAGAAACAACCAACCTTCCACCTTCTCCGATCCCTTTTTCGGCTTTCCCGCTCTTGGACTTCGCAAATCGTTGCTTCAGACTTTCCTCCTGTTGCCTCAACCTTTCCTCGCGTTGCCTCAGACTTTCTTCGTGTTGCCTCGGACATTCCGCGTGCTGCCCTGAAAATCCCTCGTGTTCCCTTGGCCCTCCTCTTCCCACTCTCCCACTCGCACTCCTCACCTCGTTCCCAGGTGCGTCCGAATACGCCTCTGCACCGCTCTGCACTCCCCCACTCTCTCTCTCCACCTCGCGTTCAGGTGAGCCTCTACTCGCGACACCCCCACTCTGCTGAGACGCTTCCTGATTAGACTCTGCCCCTGAGCCTCCTCTCAATACTCCCACACTCCTAGACTCCTCCACACCGCACTGCACTCCCCCACTCTTGCGCTCCACCTCGCGTTCAGGTGAGTCACTTCTCGCGACACCCTCACTCCGCTGAGATGCCTCCAAATCCGAATGCGCCTCTGAGCCTCCTCGCCCCAATCTCACTCTCCTAGACTCCTCCATACCGCTTTCAACCGCTCCAAAACTCGCCTCTGCTCCAACACTTGCCTCTGCGCCTGAACTTGCCTCTGTTTCTTGCATTCCTTGAACTCTCCCACCCTCCGATCCATCTCCATCCGCCCTTTCAAACGACTCTAGTGCTGCACTCCCACCCTCCGAACCATTTTCCCCCACCCTTTCTAACGACTCCAGCACCGCACTCCCACCATCCGAACCATTCTCACCAACCATGCCAATCATTTCAAACACCAAACTTCCCCCCTCCGAGCCGTCTTCACCCACCCTTTCAAACGACTCCGATGCTACGCTTCCACCCTCCGAACCATGCCAAACCACTCCAAGCCTCTCCTCCGAATCATGCTGACCCATTCCGAGTCTCTCTTCCGAACCATGCCGACCCATTCCGAACCTCTCCTCCACAGCATTCCGAGCCGCTCCGAAGCTAGCCCCGGCGCCCCGTTGCACTCTTGCACTCACGGATTTCACCGTGCTCTGAGCTGCTTCGATCCGAGCCTCTGCTCCCCTGCGCACACGCGCACTCATCGCCTTTCCCCCCGCGCCTATATTCCGCACCCTGCGAGACACGGCCCCCACAGCACCCCTGGGTAGTTGCGCTACCGTACCTGCCACCGTACCGGCTACCGAACCTGCGGCCCCGGCTACCGTGCCTGCAGCTCCGGCTACCGTACCTGCTACCGTCCCTGCTGCCCCAGCTACTGTACCGGCTACAGTACCTGCAGCCCCGGCTACAGTACCTGCTACTGTACCTGCGGCCCCGGCTACCTTACCAGCAGCACCGGTCACCGAACCTCCCACCACGCCTGCAGCGCCAGTCACTTTCCCCACCATCACTCCTGCTGCCCCTGCTACATTCCCAGCCACATGCTCTGCTGTTCCCGCTACAGCCCCGGCTACCTTACCAGCAGCACCAGTCACCGAACCTCCCACCACGCCTGCCGCGCCAGTCACTCTCCCCACCACCACTCCTGCTGCCCCTGCTACGTTCCCAGCCACGTGCTCAGCTGTCCCCGCTACAGTCCCAGCCACTGTCCCTGCCACTGTCCCCGCTACAGTCCCCGCTACTGCTCCTGCCACAGCAATGCGCTTAGCAGCCACGCCTGCTACCTTGTCAGCCACGCCCTTCGCCCCCTCCACAGCCTCCCGGGCAGCAATAAGAATCCCTTGACCAGCAGAAAGGCTGCGCAACCACTCATGCTTCTCATACCCCTCATGCCTCTCATACCCCTCATGCCTCTCACGTCCCTTATACCATTCGTATCCCCCAGGTCTCTCCCCCATGGAAACTCGAAGCCCACTTCTTCTACCAGTCCCATGCAGCGACCCCCCTGCGTGTGGACCAGTTAAATACTCCTTGTACCCAGCGACACCAGGGCTGTTCAACCAGTCGTGCTGCTCCCCTTCCCCCACAGAAGCCAAGTCCGTGAGATCCGTGCAGCTGTGCCTCTGTCTCTGCCTGAGCACGCTGCTCCCCTCGCCCCACGCGCCTTCCCCCCCTCCTCTTTCTCCCCCTCTCTCCCCTCTTCGCCCGCCTCTTCCTCCGCTGCTGCCTAGACTGTCTCCTCCGCCTTTGGGGGTGATGAGCCCCGGAAGGCCATAGCTTTCCGGAGGAGCGATTAATCTCCATGCGGTGGTGCTGGTGGGGGTGCCGAGGTCCCCCGCGGATGGGGAGGGATGGATTCGCTTGAGTAGTTGGTTCTTCTGGCCCTCCTTAAAAGACTCCTTATAAGACTCCTTGTGAGACTCCTTATGAGGCCACTTGTGGGACTCGTTATGAGGCACTTGGAAAGAGACCCTATGAGAATGTTTCTGGAACCGCTTATGAGACTCGTGATGAGAATGCGGAGACTCCACACGAGAGTCTTTTGAGACGTCTCAAAACATGAGAGTCCCTGTGGGAATGCTTGTGAAACAACCTGTGGGACTCGTGCGGAGAATGGGGGGAATCGGCATGAGACTCATTATGAGAATGCTTGTGGAACCATTTGTGCGTCTCGTGATGAGAATGAGGAGAATCTCCGTTAGACTCCTTGTGAGAATGAGGAGGATCTCCGTTAGACTCCTTGTGAGAATGAGGAGGATCTCCGTTAGACTCCTTGTGAGAATGAGGCTCCCTGTGAGAATGCTTCTGAAACCACTTGTGGGACTCGTGATGAGGAGAATCCGTGAGAGAGTCCTTGGGTAACCTTTGGGACTCCTTTTGGGACTCGTTGAAAGAATTCTCACGAGAACCCTTATGAGGCTCCTTCTGGGACTCCGTATGAGACTCTTTTGCTAACTCATTATGCGACTCGTTATAAGACTCGTCACGAGACTCGCTATGAGCATCCTGCGTGTGACGCTGCTCTCGCGAGGACTCATCAGTACCAGCAACAGCAGCGAGAGACGCTGACGACGGCCGTGAGAGTGAGAGAGCGTGCGAGCGAGCGTGCTCCCGGGGGGACGCGCCAGCAGTACCAGCAGCAGCAGCAGCAGCGAGAGACGCTGACAACGGCCGTGGGTGCGCGAGCGTGAGTGCGTGTGTGTGCGCGTGAGCGTGCTTGCGAGGCCGGTCGTGGGCGGAGGCAGAAGCAGTCTTAAACGCAGCCGAGAACGCAGCAGAGGCAGCAACAGGCACGCCCTTGCTGCTGCTGCTGCTGCTCACACCTCCTCCCTCGTGCCCCTTGGGTGATTTCCGCTCCTGCTTCTCCTCCTCCTGTCCCTCCTCCTGCTCATGCCCATGCTTATGCTTATGCCCATCATGCCCTGGCCCATGCTTGTGGCAATGCTTGTGCCCATGCCCATCCCCATGCTTATGCCAATGCAAATGCCAATGCCCATGCCCATGCCCCTTCTCCCCCTGCGCCTCCGCATCTCCTCCCCCGCCCCCCTCCAGCTCTCTAACAGCCGCTTGCGCCGCCTCCGCGCGCTCCCGCCCATGGCTCTCCGGTACATGCGCAATGCGCCGCAGCACGGGCCGGCGCAGCGAGTGGCAGAGAATTCGCCACGTGCGGTGCGCGTAGCGAATTGTTCGTTCCGCTTCCGCAGCTGCTTCCGCCGCCGCCTGCGCCGCTGCTTCCGCCGCCGCTTTCACCGCTTCCGCCGCCGCTTGCGCCGCTCTCTGCGTGGCGGGATCTATCCGTCCCTTGGCTTTTCGATTCTTCCACGTGTTCTTAGCTTCCCAAATGCATTCCTCCGCTTCGGGTTGCTGCTCCGCCTGCTTCTCCCCGTCCTCCGCGGAACCCGCTCTGGAATCCCCGCGCTCCCCTGGAACCGCTGCGCCGCCCGCGGGACGCCTTTCGACGAATGAGAAAGAGGGGAGGAGTTTGGCGCATTTGTTGACCGCTCGGCCTGTACACCAGATGTAACAAAAAATAAGGCGAAAGAATATTTATACCCCAAATAAAAGTGAAACCTAAAGTACACGCATAAAAAAAAAAACATCAGAAATTGAAAAAAAGAGGCGAGGTATGGTGGTGTTGTTGAGATGATATGGTGGGTTGTCCGGAGGAGGTTGTACCTGCTCCTGCAATTTCACTGTAGAACTCTGTTTTTTCTGCCCAATCTCGCACTTCGTCCAATCGGCTGCGGATAAAAGTTTTTAGCTTCCCGCTTGTCACGAGCTCGTCGTCCGCTGCGATGGTTACAATCCTCCACGAAATCGGCATGCTGTTTCGCTCCGCCCCCATCAGTCGCAAGGGCATCGCCAGCAGCGGCAAAACGTCGTACACGTCGCCGGGTTCGCGCGCGTGCGACCCAATCTCGAGCGCTTCAAGCGGCGAGTTGTCGCACGCAGTTACGAGCGAATCCTTGAAATCCTTCACAGGATCTCTACCGCCCAAATCATCATCACCGTTATCCCCGATAAGAGCATTTCTGCGTTCTCTTTCTCTAGCTTCAGCTGGATCTTCGTCAACACCCCAGTGGAAGAACATCGACATGGATCGCGGCGCGAGAACGCACGTCTGCGGCAGGATGCCCATATTCCACGGCGCCGCCAGCAGCAGCGACTCGGGCGACTCGGCCGATTTGGAAGTCGAGGAAGACGAGGACGCGACGGCGGCTTGCACCTTAAGGCTTCCGTCCAGCGCCAATACCTTCGGCTTCTCGCGTAACGCCTTTCGCAGAAGGTCGTCCTTTCGCCGCCCCACGCCGCCGCTGCTGCCGTCGGGGGCGGCGGAGGGCGACTCGGCGGAACGGGAAGCGGCGGAGCGGCAGACGAACGTGAAGGTGGAGGTCAAGAGCGCCGCCGCCGCCGCCGCCGCTGGCGGAGGATTATGATGATGAAGATGGTTGTCATCATGATGGCGACGATGCTGCTGATGGCGCCGCGCGGAGATCCCGGAGGGGGAATGGTTTCTCTTACTAGGCGCAACGGGGGCAGGCGGAATGAGAACGATGTCGTGCCAGATGGAGGACACGTGGCCGGCGGTGATTAGCGGAAGAATGCTGGTACTTGATGAAGGCTTCGCGGCGCCGTGCGGCGATGCCGACCTGCCTAAAGCTCGCACCATCGCCGTGAGAACGACTCGTTCTATCGGGCCGATAGGATAGAAGCTTCAGACGGTCGCGCTACTGCATCATGTCGTGGGGGAGCGAGGGAAGGGCGATCTTGCGACTGCGCCGCCTACGTTTGCGCGCGACACCGCGACGCGACGCCGCTGTAGAAGCCACGGTGGAGGACTCGTCTTGCTGCTATCGACGGTTCTTTCTGTGAGGACGGTGCTGCTATGGAAAGATTCTTGCTGCTTACGAAACTACGAAAAAACAGAGGTTTCGCCATGTTCCGACTAAATTGTGAATAACGAAGCATCCCAGGCTTTTTTGGGAAAGGCTCGGACAGAACAGGGAGGGGTTCGACGAAGCTTTGCGATCCGATCTACACTGTAATCCGACCCGAGTCGTGCTCTGGAAAAAAATCGTCGGCGTCCAGTTGTGTCGCTTGTGACCCACCACGAAGAAAAAAGGAACACATTTCGTGAGCCACGAGAATGGGTCGAAACGAAACGGCCATCCTCTCCTCCTGGAGCTCCACCACCACCACATATGGTCATGCCATGCCCGCGGGGGAAGGGCATTTGATCGAGAATGAATGCTCATCCAATCGAGCATCCTGTCCCACCCATCCCATGTTCTCAGGACCATGTCTTTGTTGTTTGTGGCATGCGGGAGGATGAATGGATGGATCGAGTCGGGGTTTCGGAACCGAAACTTTGAAGAGTGATGAACCAGTGCGGTGCACCTCTTGCCCAACTGTAGCTGGACCATCTAAACAAAAAACCATGGCATCTGTCAGTCGTTCGTGCTAGCTAAATCCGTGGCTTCAAGGTCTCGAGGCACCTATGTACAGAGTCGTCGTCTACGGAAATCACTGAAAGAGAAACTGGGATGCAACTGTGAACCCGTAACCGTCAGCGATTGTATTCTTTAACCATAGCCCAGAGTAAACAAAAAGTGTCCCGATGGATAATAGCCACACTGCCAAGTTCCCGCGAATTATTCCGCTATATTATTTTCGCCCCTCAGTCTTATAATAGATGGAGGAGGGAGTTGGGGACTTCACAGAGTTCGCACTTCAGCGATTATTCACACAGAATACCAAGAAGCATCAGTTGAACACATAATAACACAGAACCTTGTGTTGGCGTTGAGGTCTGGGGGAACCTTTTGTTGGTTTCAAGTTGCTTGAGTTCAGCACTGGTGTGGAGAGAAGGAGGTACTGTACTGTATTCAAGTCGACCTGAAGACTGCCTCACCACGTGCATCCTAGTTTTCTACACGGGAGTGGTCTTTCACGATTTTTTTTGCATCAAAAGCAGCGTCGTGTTACGAGTACAATTGAGCGAGCTAGCTAGAATTGCACTATAGAAGCAAAACAGTACAATGAGAGAAGGAATGAGCTAGAACTAAATAGCGAAGGCCACAGTGGTAACGATAACGAACTGTGGTTGACGCGCGACGGGCCTGTGACTGAGGTCGGGACTGAGGTTGGGAAAGTGTCGAAGCGGAGGCCCGGAGCGTGGGTTACCAGCCGAGCTGGGAGGCTGGGTTGCGACGTCCAAAGTGGCGGGAAGATTGTCGAAGCGAGGGTCGCGAGTGGTAACGGTGCCGAGTGTGGTGGGAACAGTAATGTACGCGTTACGCGGGGATGCGGCGTAAGGAAAAGGAATTTTCCTTACACGTCGAAAACATATACACTTTCACGAGTGTCGAATTAAGATACTAGAACGTATTTTCAATTTGAAACTATTCAAAATAGCAAGCACCATGGTCTGACATAGATGGTGATTCTTTATGCAAAAATTTTAGAAAAGGAAGCATATACAGTATCACCCTGGATATAAGCGAAGGCCTATGATAGGCGCATGCCCTTGTATCTGGAGCAATGCGCTTATGGCCGAACCTCATTTATAAGCGCACCCCTTAAGAATTCGTTACTTATTATAAGCGCACCCTTCTACAGTTCTGATGTTTTTAACACCGTTTTAATGATTTACCAATTCACTACATGCCCTCACAGGGCTTTCGAACAAACTCCACAAATATTTCACTAGAATCGCACATTTTTCTACCAGTTTTGCCATCTAGAGGCAGGATTTACTACCTAATCTAGCCTAAGGGAGGTCACTCCTCATCCGACCCAGGCTCCTGACCGTTGTTGCCCCAGAAGCCGTCAGCCTGGATCTCATCATCTAAATCAACTTCGTGCGTCAGCTGGCACCTCCGGTGCGCCGTCGCCAGCTTGTCCTCGCTGCCGTCCAGTGCATTGCTAATGCCGTGTGAAAATAACGAACGGGGATGAATGAACTAGCAAGCAGTTGGGTACAAGTACTCACCCTAATTGGGTTGTACCCATTATGGGCTACCCCACTATAGCCTACACAAATGTATAAGCTATAATGTTATGACACACCCCCATAGGCAAAGTGGGGAAGAACAAGTGGTCACAAGACCAGTCAAGAAAACCAAGGCAAGCTCAGGGTGGATCACAAAGTCACCACACAGTCTGAGCACAAGCAAAGGGCCACAAGGCCAGTTCACATGCAGAGTTATATAAAGAGAACAAACAATACAGTGATCACACCCTAGCAAGTACAAGCACGCAGGTATATATATAGATCACAGTACAAGCAGAGTCAAGCAGTAAGCAAGTAAGGCAAAGTAGGCACAAGGCCTAACACAGTAACAAAGCGCTGATGATCACCAGGCGGAAGTGCCTTGGTGAAGACATCAGCAGTGTTGGCCCGAGTGGCCACGTACGCAAGACAAAGCTGGCCACGCTGCTGCAACTCTCGAGCAAGGAAGTATCGCAGAGCGATGTGCTTCGTTCTGTGCTCCAGTCTGTGCTCCTTGTGAGAAAGATAGACGAAAGAATGAATGAACTAGGAATGAGATGGGTACAAATAGAAAACACATAAGAGTTGTACCCTCTAAGAGCTACCCCACTACAGCCTAAATAGACCATAGCATATATAAGTTTGACACACCCCCATAGGCAAAGTGGGGGAGAACAAGAGGTCACAAGACCAGTCAAGAAAAGCAAAGCAAGCTCAGGGTGGATCACAAAGTCACCACACAGTCTGAGCACAAGCAAAGGGCCATAAGGCCAGTTCACATGCAGAGTTATATAAAGGAAAGCAAACAGTACAGTGAACACAACCTAGCAAGTGTAAGCATGCAGGTATATGTATATAGAGTACAGTACAAGCAGAGTCAAGAAGTCAACAAGTGAGGTACAGTAGGTACAAGGCCTAACACAGTACAGAAACGCTGATGATCACAAGGCTGAAGTGCCTTGGTGAAAATATCAGCAGTGTTGGCCTGAGAGGCCACGTAAGCAAGACGAAGCTGGCCACGCTGCTGCAACTCTCGAGCAAGGAAGTATCGCAGAGCGATGTGCTTTGTTCGGTGTTCCATTCTGTGCTCCTTACACAGGGCAATCATGGCCTTGTTGTCGACGTACAGAACTGGAGGAGAACGAGGCGCCTCTCCCAAGTCGGCCAGCAGGTAGGTGAGCCAGCGAAGCTCCTGTGCAGCCATGGCCCCAGCGTAGATCTCAGCCTCACAACTGGAGCTGAGAACAGAAGAAGAGCGGGTAGACCGCCAGGAGACAGAACCGGAGCCAAGGCTGAAGGTGTAACCCTGTGACGACCGCTGCGTAGCCAAGTCGTCAACCCAGGAGGCGTCAGCGTGACCAGTGAGGACAACTCGAGCCCGTCCTCCAAGCACGAGCCCCATGCCTGATGTACTGCACAAGTATCGCAACACCCTCTTCGCAGCATCCCAGTGCACCTTTCGGTGCCTGCCGGGAGCCACGTAGCGAGCCAGAAGGCTGAGAGGGTATGCGAGGTCAGGTCGTGTGCAAGTCATCAGGTACATGAGGCAGCCCACAAGCTCTGGATACGGGCCACTCGGCTCTACGGACTCGTCCGAAGGTGGAGCTGAGAGCGAGTGACCGGTAGGCAGAGGAGGGGACTATGGCGAGGAGTAGGTGAAGCCGAAGCGCTGAAGGACCTGCTGCACCATGTGTGACTGAGTCAAGGTAATGGTGCGCTGTGCTCTGTCCCGGGTGATCCGCAAGCCAAGATAGCTTGTCAGCTCACCCAGGTCTGTGCACGTGTGTCTCTTCTGCAGCTCGGACTTCACATGGGCGAGTGCCTCCGTGTCAGCAGTAGCAAAGACAAGGTCGTCTACGTACACAAGAACGTAGAACGGCGGCAGAGTAGCGTCAGTGCGTAGAAACAGAGAAGGGTCAGCAGTGGAAGGAGCAAAACCAAGAGCAGCAAGAGTCGTCCTGAGCGTGTCGTGCCACTCACGGGGCGCCTGGCGGAGACCGTAGACTGGCCGCCGGAGGCTCCACTGGGTACCAACAGGAAACGACCCAGTGAAGCCAGGTGGGCGGCGCAGCCAGATCTCCTCGTGCAGGCTGCCCTGTAGGAAGGCTGTGCTGAAGTCAAGCGAGTGGAGCTCGTAGTCACGCTGAGCAGCAACGTGCAGCAGTACCCGAAGAGTGGTCATCTTCGGGGTAGGGGAGAAGGTCTGAAAGAAGTCAACTCCCTGTCGCTGACTGAAGCCACGTGCAACGTAACGCGCCTTGAAGGCAGGCGGAGAACCCGGCGGCCGCTTCACCCTGAAGATCCACATGCCACTGACGATGTTCGCCCCAGGTGGGGGAACCTCGTCTACGTAGGTGCCTGTGGACTTCCAGGAAGCCATCTCTGCGTCCATGGCTGCCTGCCACTGAGAGGAGTAGGGACCCTCTATCGCCTCTGCGTAAGAGCGCGGGGTCGGGATGTCTAGTGCATCCGGGTCTCCCTCAGGGGCAAGCAGCATGGACACGAGATGAGGTGAAGCAGCAGCAAAACACTCAAGGTCCTCCTGTCTGTCCTCAAGGACGTCCGTGCCAAGAGCACACTCACCCCCGACGGACGGAGGACAGACAGACGCAGACGCAGACTCAGCAACAAGACTAGCGGCATAGTCTAGGCGACAGGCTGCAGCAAAGTCAACAAGC